ATAGATAGATAGATAGATAGATAGATAGATAGATAGATAGATAGATAAAACTAAAAGCTTCAAAACTTTACAAACTTCCAACAAAAAGTTAAAATAAAGAACGAAGGACATCCATTACTAAAATCAAAGTTGTATTTGTATCAGCGTTAACTACTGGAAACAATTTATACCTGAATCAGTATAACAGCAGTAGACTGCTGATCTCTCATGGTGACAGTTCCTGATAAATCAGCAAATTCCTTTTGATCAGGTGATGTTATCATCCAGGAGACTGTAATTTCTCCAAAGATCCCTGGCCCACGAACTAGACTGCCAAACAAAAAGAAATGGTCATTAAAATATTACTCAGTATTGGTTCAATACCATTCCCAGATATCAAGTACAAATACTTCAACCAATTTTATAGTTTTCTTCTTCTTTCTTTCTGAATAATAACAAAATAACTTGATATTTTTCTAAATAGGTTTACTGTATATTCAACAGCCATATCTAAATTTATATGCATCACAATGAAATATAAAAATACTTTGTTTTATTTGTATTAATAATTCACACATATGATTTGCAGTTGTAAACCACCAATTCTACAGCTTCTGGTGGTGTTTTGCATTACAAAAATAACTCAAAATAACTTTTTCCAAAATAGCATGTTGTGTCATGAACATATTAGGCCAGAATTTCTTTAAAACTACTACATCCTCTCATCTAGCAGGATAGCTCTTATTTTTACCAAGATAAAAAGGTACTTGGGAGTATATGCAAAAAACAACAACAACATGTGGTATCTGCCTACATTTCTTTAAATCAAGCATGACTTTTCTCAGGCTCATATTGTAGCTGTTTTAAAAAAAATCCATCCTTTCAAACATTTATCCTGAAGTTACTTTAAAAGTATGACTTAAATAACTTGAATGATCCATGTGCTTCAAATGAATTTTCCCTTCAAAAAAGGTAACGACCTAAAATATAGTATCTTAGAAAACAAATAGACACTGTAAAACTTTAAAATAAATGTAATTCATTCATATTTAAATATTTATTGGGTAATTACAGTAATTATTGAAATAATTAGTATTACCCTTCTAGATGTTAATGTAATGTATTGTCAACAATTTTGAAGATTTTATACCAAAGCATGCATAGATGCTCTTGAATGCATTGGTTTTTTTCCCCCCTAGTAACTACTTAGCAAGCCTCTGCAGTTATTTTGGCAACTGTCAGGCATAAACAATCAGATCCACATGTTACTTATTATTACATTCTGCCTATTATATAGGAATCTTCCCAGACTGTCAGTCTTCACCTGGAAATAGATCTCTATTAAGATAAAGGGGAATCAATTCTGGATCTCTTGAGGATGCGCAAGGATTCAAGCCTAGTTCTGTACTTAAGGCCTCCCCCAGCCTGGCTGGGCATTTTCCATCATCAATATTTTTGGGTTTGCCAATGCCTTCTTTCTATGATTAAGGAGAATGTCTGCTAAAGGTCATCCAGTTGAATTTGTGCCTAAGGCAAGATTAGATCTCTCAGTCTCCAAGATAGCTTGGTGTTTACAATAACTATATCTGAGGGTCCCTCTGCATCCATTGTGCATACAGTTAATTTTAGAAGCTCCATGCTTAGAATTCTTTACAATAAATGGGAAAATGTAGAATTATTTAACATATATATCAAAAACTACGAAAGGATAAAGGAACCAACATTGAAAACCTGGAGCATGTTAATGACCCTAAAGCAGTTAATTGCTATCAAGACACACCTTTAGAGTTGTGGTTAAATACTTACACAAACTGCAAACAATTTTTTAGCGAAGATACAAAATGCAATGATTGCCTACCCAATAAAAGCAGTTCCATTATATTTTCCTACAGGTTCCCCAATCAGGACATGGGTGGATTGTGAAGCTAATCCAACAACTCCAGAAGCTCCTTGATCTGCCTGTATAGTAATAGTTGCTATACCTGTAAACATAAAAGAGGTTGCCAATAAAGCTGATTGATGCAAGATATTTTTTAACCATAACACAAAACAATAATAAATATTACATAATTATCATTCTATTCTGAATGTATTACCATCAATTTATTTTTAAAAAGTAAATTAGCAAAGTTCCATTATTAACTGTCAATATTTAATGATACCCAATCTGATGGTTTCCAACTGTGTTGGATTACTCTCCCAATACACCTACTCAGCACAGTCAATGTTAGATACATTCAGGATGTGATTCTATATTTTTATTTGGAAGACTAATTCAATAAATGTTAATTATCAGGGCTATATAGTTTTTTATTTTTTAAATTTCTATTCTGTTTTTCTTCAGGATCTCGAGGTAGTGTACACATCATTCCCTCCTCTGATTTTGTATCCTACACAATAAGTCTTGTGAGTTCGGGCTATAAGGTAGTGACTGTTCCAAAATAAGCTATTGATCTTCCATAGTTGAAAGTGGATTTAAAACTAGTTCTCATTCTAATTGAAGATGTTAGTCATTACACCTATAGGAACAAGTTCTCAGCAGGCCAGATAAAAACAGCTAAAACAAATCTATATGACTAGTTTAGTTCCAAAGCAAAGGACAGGTGAAACTGTCCATCCTATCCAAGGAGTAACTTCTAGTTATGCCAATTATACTGTCTCTTAAAGTCTAGTAAGGTAACTCATTTTCACATATTCATAGAATTATAGCACTGGAAGGGATCTTGGAGGTTTTCTAATTCAACCCCCTACCCAAAGCAGGTGTACTTATAACATTCTGGACAAATTTTTGTCTAATCTTTTCTTGAAAATTTCAAATGATGGAGCACCAATATGAAGCAAACTGTTCCACTGATTATTTCTTCTCACTGTCAGGAAATTCCACATTTCCAGATTGGATTTCCCTTTGATGAGCTTCCACCCATTGCTTCTTGTCCTGTCTTCAGATACTATGGACAACAAATCACCCCCCTTTTCTCTGTGAGGGAAGCCATTCAAGTATTGGGAGATAGCTATCATGTCATTCCTCAGACAGTACCAGCTTTTTTGAAAGATGCAGCACACTGCCAACTCATATTTAAGTGGTGGTCTACCAGGATACCTAGATTCCTCTCACAGACACCTGAAAGCCAGATATTGTTAGGCCAGATACTGCCTATTTTGTACCTATTCAGTGGTTTTACTTTTTCCTACGTGCAGGACTCTCTACTGAACTGCATTTTGCTGTATAGGGCCTGATGCAGTACTGTCTATCCCACATTGCTCTATCTTACCAAGCAATAATCTGTGGTCTACTTTATCAAATACCTGACTTAAGTTTAAGAATAGTATATCCACAGCATTTCCTTTATTCGCTATTTTAATTTAATTTAAATAATGTAATATTATATAATAAAGTAATTTAAGTCAGTTAAAACCTTGTGGGTGGGAGTGTGATGTAAGAATTTAAACCATTATTTCTCTTCAAATAGAGCTTGTATTTGAGACATAAAAATCATGCAAATTCTTTCATTATGGCTTTCTTCCACAATAAATTTACTTATCAAAATCCTCTGTTTGCAGTCCAGTTTGTCAACAGAAGTCAGACAAAAATTGCAAGATTAATACAACATGTGATTTTCTCTTGGACACTGAAATACTGGAATCAAAGCCAATATTCAGGACAACATTCAGCATTTATAGTTGAAAAACAATCTTAACTTCAACATATGTTTTCAAAAGCCTCAAACAGTACATGTAGCTAGTTAGTAAAAAAAACAACACCTATTTAAGAATTAGACACTTTTCAAAAATGCTACAATTCAGATATAGCACAAAGTAATCTTTTAACATGGGAGAAGTCAACAAGCCACATTCCCTGTATTTTCTTTATTTGAATCTAATCATGGCATCTCATAGTTTTCTAAACACCTCAGATAAAGGGAAAAAATAAAGGTAATTAGACCTGTTTGGCATTGCTATAATTACAGCTTTGGATACTGTTTTAAACAGTGTTTACCATTTACAGGTGATATTTCTGTGTTATCAGTAGACACCAGATGAATTGAAAAATGTTCATCACCTTCCAAAACATCATCTTGAATTGCATGCAAAATTATGGTTTTCTGAGATTCCACCTGTATAAAATTGGAAAAGATGATTATATATCTTAGAGCTATATTTGGTGTACTGAAAAAGAAAAACTTAACATTAAATGAAATTAAAATCAAATGAAATTAGTTTCAAAAGAGGAAAACACTAAATTAAATTAATATCATTTAGGAGATAAGCATAGAATTTTAACCTTGTTAAGAAATATATCCAGTGGACAATATTGTTAAACAGGAGAAAATCACTAAAACATAGGGAAAAAATTGAGAGCTTTCTCTTAGAATATTAGTCATATCAAATTCATAATTGTATATTTGTGTTTCTACTTTCCACATGTGGCTAACAGTGCAAATATGTTAGGTTCACATCAATATTTTTTATTTGAATAAATCTATATAAACCTATCTTGCCATGGGGCTACTCAAAGCACCTTACAGTAATAAAAGGAAAGAAATGAAGAGAAGTGTAAACAACACAAAAGCAAAATAATAGAACAATAAAACACACAATTAAAAAGAAAGCAATGAGAATACATAAAATATGATATATTATATGATATATTATACACACACACACACACACACACACACGAATTAAAAAATATATTAAATAATAACACATTAAAAAGGTGAGGTGGCAAAAGGGGCTGTACCTCAGAAAAGAAAAGAGTACCATTGAGAGGAGTGAGATCATATCTAGCTGCCTCCTCAAGTTTCCAAAGAATCTGGACTTCTCCTTGGCCCCCTGAACTCCGACTTACAGTGAGAAAGACATTGGCTGAGGGATCATGTATTGACTGAGGTTCTTTCACTGTTACCTAAAGCAAGAAAAACATTGGTATTAGGAAGACCAATATATAACAAGCAAAATATATCAGTGTTGAGCTTCCTTTATCTCACACACGTTGCATTGAACCACTGCTGGAACCAGCAGCATACCTGGTGCCAGAAACTGCCAACAAGCAGGAGAAATGCACACATGCACTTTCTCTCAATAAAAGACTAAAGAAGACTTTTGTATAAGGGACTTTCTCTGTTTACTCACATTCCCCTTTTAAAAACTGTTTAATGTGGCAAATGATTTGATTCAAACAAGCAGTCATTCAAAGAAGTCCACTAATAGCAATAGTAATTGCACAGTGCCCAGAGCTGCATCATGGGGCAGTATAAAAATAATTGTAATACATAAATAATGAAATAAAGTAGACTTTGTGACCATTTGTTTTTTCTTTTGGTTTTTCAAATAAAGCCTACAATTATAAAGCAATTAAATTGTTTCTTCTTCTATGTCCTTAAGAATTATAAATTAGAAGTATAACAAGTAAATATTGAATCTGTTTGGTATGGTACACTGATGTTTTCATGTGAACATAAGTATCTTTCTTTTGTTCTAATTAGAAGGCAAATACTAATTTGAGGATGATTCAAAATATATTTATGTTGGAATTCTATTTACAAAGTGTACTTAAAACATCCTCTTTAACAATAAATTCATTAACAAACCTGTTATATATGAAAGGCTATAGTAATGGTTCTACTTCCAGGAGCAGCATCATTATTTATTCTCTTGTCCCATTTAGCACCTTCATTTGCAAACACAGGTCTATCTCTTAGATAAACACAATCACTTGATAAAACAGCTATAGCATATAACATTAAGTTCTAGTTGTGGTATCACTTCTGCTAATCCAATGTGAGAGTTGCCAGCTTTGAAACCAACTCATGGGGAATTGCTACTTAAGCTCCTAAAAAAATGTGTGACTTCAATTTTACTTTTACACCCAATTGTTGACACTCAGAGGTCCTTAAAATAGCTTACACTTCTTTTGATATCCCAATTATTAACTGAGCTTGTCAGGGAGAAAAAGAGTTCTTTTCCTGGACCATTTTTTTCTAAATTTTACTAAGTGGTTATTATTATACTAACTAGAAGAGCTCCTCTTATTTAAATCTGAATACAAACACTAAGGAAGGATGGACTGTCTACAGTGGTGCTTAGATGTTTGTGAATTCTTTGGTATTTTCAATATTTTTGGATACACATGATCTAAACATAATCTGTTTTCCAAACAAGCCCTAAAACTAACTAGAGAAAACTCAATTAACAAATGAGTCAAAATTATACTTGTTCATTTATTTATTGAGGAAAATGATCGAGAGCTACATTGTCCTTGGGATAGGGAAATGGGATAGAAGTCATGTAAAATATCTATAGTTGTCTGTTCAAAGAAATTGTTGTGTATATCATTATGAAAGCCTCTATACATCCCTTCCTAAAAATATTCTGCACCAGAATCTAGATAGTTCCTAAAACAATTGTTCTGTATATAGTCACATGAAGGAGAATTACATCTGGCTATTTACATCTGATGCAATGAAAAATATCCAAGGTGATATGTATTTCGAGATGTATGGATTAGTTTTAAATAGACATTTTGCTTTCAGATGCCTTACTTGGTGATGAATATATGTGTTCTCTCTCCCTCTCCCTCCCTCTCTCTCTTGGATGATGTATACTGTGAAAACATGTCCTTTCTTGGAAGTATTTTGGCTAATTTCAGCTGCTTATTATTTATATCCTACTACCACTTTTGGTCTCAGCTGGACTGGGACATCTAGCTGGACATATCTATCCATTCTAGGTTTGGATATGCAAATGGTCAAGGGGTGTCTGGCAGTAAATATACGATCTTACTTTCACTTACATGTTTTTCTTCAAAGCTAAAAACTCCAGCAGGTGAATCATTTGGTGCAATAGTAACCATAATCTGTACATCATCACCTAATCTTGCATCACCTGTCACTCTAAGTAAGGTAACAGTGAACATTTCCAAAAATTCAACCTCTTCATCATCTATGATAGTGATCTCTATCACTCCTGTAACCTAGAAAATAAATTAAAAATAAAAACAAAGATGAAATAAGTACTATGAAGGTGCTCAAGCTCAAGACATTTAGATTTAATTGTGAAGCATAATAAAAATGGAAATGAAAGTCCAGGTGAGATAGGCAGCTATATAAATTTGCTTAATAAATAAATAGATAAAAGAAACCTCAAAGAAGGCAAATCTGGCATAATGCACATCATACATATAAACAGTTAAAACATACTACAAAACCCTTTTACAAAATAGTCTCCACTGTCCTTTAAAGACAAACAGCAACTCCTAAAACAACTCCTAAATGTAGCAGGATTCACTGGTACATTTAGAAACAAAATATCCATTTTTAATATATCTATATAAAATGCATTTTCTTTACTTTAATGGCATTAGATGATATATCCAAAACAAAAAAATTGCTAAGAAAACAAATATGAATAGAGAGTTACACCAACTTCAGAAGTTTGGTAGGTTTCACAATACTTTTAATATGAACATGACTCAGATTTCATTCTTGCAACCATTAATGGTATGCATGGTATAATACATTTATGAGTAAATGTGAATTGCTCTCCAATCTCAATCAGCCATCAAAAAAGGAACCTGTTTGCCATCCTGTATTAGAACCACAAACATCGTTGGATAAAAGTTATCCAGACCTCACTAAGGTATGGATAAAAGTTATCCAGACCTCACTAAGTTATCCAGACCTCACTTATTTTTGTATATTTATACATAGACATGTGCTTTGAAAGTACTTAAAAGGTAAGAAAGGGAAAAAGCACCCTATTAGCCAGAAATTATCTTAAAAGGAACATACTGTAGTCATAAGAATAAGATGATAAAAATATGGGGGGAGATGTTTTATCAATATGCTACATACTTGTCCATCAGCAAATATAAGGTTTCCAAATGATGGTGAAAAGTCTTTTAGACTAGCAGAGGCAGGTGTGGCTTCCCAATCCAATTTTATTGATCCAAATGTTCCTGCCTTCCGAACAATGGACAGCTTCAGAATATTATCTGGTGGTGGTATTTCATAAGCAACCACAGTCTTGTTCACATCCTTGAAAGAGAACAATTAGTATTTTATTAAAATATTTTTATTAAAAATACTATAGTGCCTGTATTTCAAAAGGAGGAGGGGGAAGAGGAGAAAGAGTGAGAGATAAAAATTAATATATTATATATAATAGGATATCTCTAGGATTTAGGAATTGCTTTTTCAGAGATTGTTAGGCCAAAGTGGGATTAGTAACAACAAAAGTACAAACACATTTATCACATACATAAATATAACCATTTTCTCTCTCTGGATTTTCACATGGAATAATTGAGTTTCCTCCCTTAAGAAAGGCTTTTAGTTAATTATTTTATTAATTATTATTACCTATTTTATGAGTTAATTATTCATCACCTATTTTATGAGAAATGCTACAGCTTTTCTATTTCTTCATTTAAATGTATGAAGAGTGTCTTTGGTAGTGGTTGTTGTTTATCACGGCATATTATCAGGAATCCTTTTAGCCTATGAATACTGGGAAGTGGATAGGAATTTGTCAATGTTGTATTGTGCCACCTGTTCTTTGGATACCTGCCCATCCTGTCTATTGAGGGGAACAGATGGAGAGGTAAGCGAAATACTGTTGATATTCTATTTTTACTGCCTGGAGATTTCAAGGGTCTGGATGGGAGAGAACAGATTGAAGTTTAATCTAAGGAAGATGTATGTAACTACAGTCTGTACATTAAGATTCTCTATCAATACTAGTGTTACTTCTGTTATCTCACAGGCACAGTGAAGGAACAGATTCACTAGGGGGGGGTCCATCTACACTCACAGCTCCTGCTTGAAGGTAGAATAGCAAGTAGGTCTTCACCCAAGTTCAAGTAATGCTCCATTTGTGACCTTACCTGGTAGGCTAAAACTCACACTCTCATCTCATTACCCCTGGACTACCCATAAAGACTACTTAGAAACTATAAATAATTTAGAATGCATATTCACTGGTTCTCAATGCTGGAAATACAAAATATGGAATTTACAGGCCTAAACTGAGCAATAACTGATTTTCAGGTATAAATTAATATGCTGGTTTAGACCTTTATGGTTTGGCACCTGAGTACTTGCAGAAATGCCTGTTCTAAATAAAATCTAGTGACCAACCTCCCAGATCTTACAGAAATAATTATTTTATCATATTATATGGTATGTATTATATATAAGCTGCTGAAAGTCACCAGATTGTAATGAAATTAATTAAATGAATAAGATTCAAGACTTTTCTTGGTAAGGATCAATAGCTGCTTAGCAAGTCTTTGACAACAAATCCTGTCATATTCAGATTAAGATAAATAGGAAAAATTATAATTATAGACCACTTGGCTTCATTATATCATAGGAAAACATAATAGCAAGGGACATATTAAGCATGGATAAAAGATTTATAATTTCACATTATTAACCTATGTATTATTACCTACATACCATGAAATGGCCAACTTAGAACAAGAACAGTACCCACTGCTCTTGATATTGAGATGTTTCAGTTTGTTCTCACCTTGCTAATGTTGAACTGAAATATTCCTCTGGGATTATCATTTTCTTCAATTAAAATCTCAGCTATTTCTAAACCAAATTTCTTCATGCTCTGTTGCCCTCTAGTAAGAGAATAATTCAGTAACTGCACATTACTAATATTGATTAAAAATCCCTCTTGTAATTCTGGAATATTATCCTGTAAGATAAAAAATGTTTTAAATTATTTTGAAAATTTAGATTTTGGATAGACTAGTAAGAGAAATAATTTCAAGTTATGATTGTTTCAGTGGAAAATAAAGACAGGGAGCACCAAGCAACCAATTCCCTTAATATAAAGAAGATTAATTATATAGAAACAAATGATTGTTAAAAAATATATTTTCTTTGCTGAAAATATAATTTAATTGTATCAAAATCTGCTCTTCTCTGATTACCTAATCAATTTAAGGAAAAGTTAAAGATAAATTAAATTCATTAATTTAAGTTTAAAGAGTAAAGATAGTGTTCAGATTGTCTGAGGACAGCCTCTCCCAAATTATATCTACCTGTCCCATCAAATCTGCAATTGCACCATCATAGGAATAAATGATTTTGGCCCTGTCACTTTGTGAAACTAAATTTAAATCTTCTGTTCAGGTTTCATTATGACTTGTTTGGCCCAAAAGATTATATGGCTTTCAGAGAAATGTCACAATATACTAGATTGGAATCAATTTGCCTTCACAAAAATGAGGAAAACCTATCCAGGTGAGGTGCAGCAGAGATTGTACAAAATAGTAGCATCAGAAAATAAGCATGGAATATTTCAATAGAAACCAGAATCATTGGAAATTGGGCAGCATATTAATTTATTTTTATTTTGTTCAATTATATTGAAACATTTTTCAAAAGTGGTTTGTCAATGCCTTCTTCCTAGGATTGAGAAATGACTGGCTACCAAGCTGGCTTCCTGCTCAGTCTCTCATTTTCTAGCCGGATGTCTTAATCATTACATCAAAGTGGTGTCCATAAATGTAATAAATTATTATTAGTAGTGGTATATCATAAATACAGTAGAATATGTCATACCATTTACTCAGAGAACATGTAGATAAAATCTAGAACTTGTTGAGATTACAAATTGTAGAAGCCAATACACCAGCAAGTTTTCTATTTATTAACTGATTTATTAAACAATCAATCATAAAGTACATAGATATATTTGGACTTCTTCTTACACACAAATTATATTCAAATAATCAACGGGAATTTTCAACTAGCGTAAATATCATTTAAAGTATGAAATATATGGTAATGTTGAAAGACAGTGAAAGAATAGGTTTTTAAATACAGGGAATATAATTAGTTCAGATTTAGATGTATGGGGAATAATATCATTAAATTATTGACTGCTATTTTTTTTTATTCAGAAATATTAATCAGAAAAGTATTTTCACTTTTCATGTCATTCACATAAAGGCTTGCTAAAAACTATATACTTTCAAATACTCACTGGTAAAATGGTTACATTAACTGAAACTAATGTTATATTCTCTGTCATAATAATGGTCTTGTTTTCCAATCTATAATCTTCATTTTCAATTGCTTGATTAACAAGAGGGAGTGAAAAGATAGGGTGGGATATTATGTGTATACTAATATCACCAACAAATGGTTGTTCTCTGAAAATATGTAAAATAATAGTAGTTGATCTCCCTAGGAAAAAACAATATTAAAGTTAATGAATATATATACTTATTGAAATATTTTATTTTTTCCAACCAAAACTAATATGATTATAACCAATGAACTACATAATAGTAATAACTCATATTACTTCCATAAATTGCATTTTCTCTGGAATCAAGAAAAAAAATTGTGCTATGATTAAAAATTAGGACATTAAAAAGCCTGTAAGCACACTTTTCTAAATATAGTTTTTAAAATCATTTAAACACTTTTTTAAAATAATCAGTGAAATGTCTCGCTTAAATAAAAAATATAACTCATTTTTCTTGCTACTCATATATTACATTCAACATATTATATTAGTCCTCCCAGATTAAAACAATGTTTGAAACTACATTCAGAAATGTTTTCTTTAAAATCTATAGATCTAACTGCAACACTGTATATCAGAAGACCTTTTTTTTAAAAAAAAATCTGGAAATATATACTTGAATTTCTCTAGCATTTTCTCAGAATTGATTTACCTTCAGGCTCTGCTACTTTGTTAAAGAGAGAATCTGTGTGCCATCCCACTGCACCAAGGGGAGTGTCATTGGGCAGAATAGTAAGTATAGCTTTTGCTCGACTTCTATCAATTATGGCTCCTCTCTGGGGGTCTTGAATGCCCACGGTGCTAATATGAGTGAGAGTTATAATCAGTGTCTCTGAAGCTTCAGGAATAACATCTGCAAGGACTGTTAATGTTACTGTTGTCAAAGCCTGGCCCTCTGAAAATGCCACCTAGAGAATTTAACAAGAAAATATACAACTTTATATTTGACACATAACTGTTGGCTTAACACAGTTTAAGATGCAATCCAATGAAAGTTATCAGTTTTGTACCAGTTAAAGGAAACATTTAATCAAATTATTCTAATCAAATTGCCATATCACTATTGTTTAATGGTGTCATTACTTTTTTCAAGTTTCATAATTATCTATGCCTATTCAACTACCTGCAATATAATAGTGAAACATAAATAAATTTTAAATAATATTGTAAGCCCCCCAAATTATCCTGCGGTACAATGGACGACCAATACATTTTATAAACAAACAAACAATGCATATCTAAGATACTTTTGTAGTACTGGAAAATATACAAGTTGTAACCAATAATTGAATTGGTAATGCTTGTTTACTTTTCAATGTTTATTTTGTTTATCTATGGTACAAAATAAAATCTTTCAGGGAGGCTGGATTGTAGTTCAACATATTTTGAAAAAAGCAGGTTGAAACAAGTTGAAATATCAGGTACTACCTTATCCAATTTTAGGAAGAGGAGATTTTAATATCTGCAGTTTATTCCTGTATTTCCTATTAAAACTATTGCAAATTCCATGGCTTAAATATACAACTTTTACCTTGTTTACCAGATAGAATAAGTTGTTGGAGGGGAAGGGTATGCTAATATGATTTTGGATTTTTCTTATGTCTAACCAAGTTTATTTTGCTTTTTGTATTAAAATTCTAAATTGCATTGACATTCAGAATAAATTAAAAAATGCACTTTTTTTCTGCAATAATCCTTAGCAATAGCAACTGGCGATAATCTTGAGTACATATAAGTAGAACTTTATGACACTTTAGAATTTTTTTATAAAGTAAACGCAACCTCTTTAACCTAACTTTCTGCAATACTGAAACTTTCAATTTAGAAAAGAAATCTGGGTATTTTGTAAAAGTCATCTCTTGCCATTTTATACCCAATCTCATATTGTTCAAGAGATGTTTTCCTCCTCATGAGTGAATTTTCACTATGTGCAGCGGCAATTGAGTGGGACGGTGGCCTAGAGGTGGAGCTCTCGCCTCACAATCAGGAGGGTATGAGTGCGATCCTAGGTAGAGGCAGATATTTCTCTCTCTGAGCACAATGAGAATATATTTGCTGAACAAAACTCTGCATTGGCAACAGGAAGTGAATCTGGCCAATAAATACTCAGCTCCATTCAGTTGCCCTGACTCCATCCGGCAAGGGATTATGGGGTCATTAAAAGGAGATGATGATAATATGCAGCAGCAAGTAAGAAAGTGCTACTGTATAATTTGTATTATCTGAGTGGCATTCAATTTTGGCTTCATTAAATTTGATCCACTTCAGCCCATTTTCTTCCGGTTTGTCGGCTTCGCGAGCGGCAGGGATTTGCGAAGCTGCGCGATCCCTGCCGCGCTAGCCGTTTTTGGGGCTCCGACCCAGCCGGGTACGGAGCTAGGCTGCCCTGCAGGGGCAGCTGAAGGTAGGGGGGATCCGGAGAAGGGTTTGGGGGTGCTGCAGACCCCCTCCCTGGCCGGCAGAACCCCCTTTTCCCAGGACGGTGCAGCGGCGGTCCGTAATGGCCGCCACAAAGAAGCTGGCAGCCGGGTAAGAATGCGCAGGAGGAAGTGGAGAAAGTGATTGAGAGGAGAAAGTTTTTCTTGGCTCCTAGGACTCTAAGATATATTTAATAAAATTCCTGAAAAGTATGACTTTCTGAATAATACCTGCCAGAAGAGGAAAAAAGCGGCTGCTTGAAGGTGCTGAAAGGATAGCTTTCCCTCTTTTCCTACGGAATAAATAACTGGATATTAAGAAACCTATTTTTTTAGGTGGAAATTGGTTTTAAGCGATGAGTGGGAAGAGAGAGGATTAAAAAGAAAATATTTGTATGCTAAGATTTGTTGGAGCAGATGCCTTAAGGATTTGAAGACTAGAATATATTGTAACAAGACTTTAAACAGATTTGGACTTTCTTTCTCTTTGATTGATATCACCCCAGAAGGAGAAAGTGAGAACTCTGCCTTGGTTTGGACTGATTGATAACTTTGGGACTGTTTTATCTTTTTTATTTTCTTTTGAATATTCTGGTTGTTGTAAGAAGAAAGAAGGAGAAAAGAAAAGAAAAGATTTATAATGGCTCTTTCTGTTGAGGAACTAAGAAATGGTGTGGAAGAAGCTTTCCTTTTCTTAGAAATGGCGCTTACTAATTATCAACAAAAATTACAACAGATGAAGACAGCAGAGGAACAAGAAAGAAAGGAAGGAGCCATCTTTAATGAATCTCAGAATTTGATCCAGAAAAAAGGAAGAGAGAAAGAAAAGAAAAGAAGAGAAAAGAAGAAAACTAAAGGATTTAAGGACTTAAGATCTAAAAAAACATTTAAGAAAGGGAAAAATAAAGTGCAAAACCAATATGATGATTGTAAACAAAGGGGAAAAGAAATACGACAGAGAAGGGAAGCCGGTAAGGCAGAGGCTAGAAGAAGGGGGGGTAGAAAGGTTTGTTGGGAAAAGAAAGAAAGGGAAAAGGTGGAGAAAAGCTACAACGTTTTGAAATTAAATGGAAAAAAGGAATTTTTTATGGATAATGGATAAAGTATAATTTTTTTTTTTTTAAAAAAAAGATTTTGCAAGGTACATAAGATGAGATGGTAGTATTGCAATGGTTTAAGAGTTGATAAGAGATTAAAATGTTAAAATGTTTAAAAATGATTGGTTTTAAAACTTAATAATAGGAGAGGTTTAGAATATTGTTTTAATTAAAGAGTTTAATAAAATTATGGTATTGATGTTATTATAAAATTTTTATTATAGTATTTCTTTTTAATATTTGGATTTATTGTCTAATTATGCACTTAATTGTGTTGGATGTATTAGTTAGATAGAATGTACCAAGCAAAATCTGACTGGGTATTAGATATTATTTTAAAGATTAATTTGATTAACTTAGGGGGGAGATAGAAAGGCATCATACTCTGATTAATGATTTCAGGAGAAACTGATTTTCTTTTTTTTCATAAGGGATGAGACAAAGGGATGATAAAAAATGGACAAAAGATACAAATATAATGATTTAAACTAAGATGATTAATTAAGGTAGAATTAAGAAGTGTGAAATATGTGGAGAAGTTAATATAGAAGGCTTAGAATGGTAAATAAAATAAGTAATGATATGTAAGATGAGCATGAATATAATTGAAGTCCATGAAGAGAGAGACACCTGGGTCCAAGTTACTTTCCAAAAAGATATTTTTTTTTTATGTTTTGTGTGTTGTGTGTATATGTCTTTTTTGGGGGGAGAATTGGTAAAAACTTGTAGAAATATAGAATGAGAATAATGGTAACTAAGTCAGAAAGAAACAGATGAAATAATAATAATGATATTGAATAAGAGTAAAGAGAAGTAAAGAGAAATTGAATAAGAGGTTTTGGTATATTATATGGAAATGGTTTAAAACAGCCCATTTTCTATATGATCAATGCATGATGCTTATTAAGAAATAAATGCAACTAAATGACATTGAATTTCCTGCTGGTATTCATAAACAGCATTGTTAGTGACTACCAGTTACTAACAAAAAGATACACAGCAGTGTTTTCGTATCAGTATACATTATAGTATAAATTTATATTCTAATTATTTCCATAAAATATAGTATTGATACTGGATTTCTAAAAATTAGTGTGTAACACAACTTTCTCCCCCTAGAAAGGACTGAAGAAATATCACACAGAAGGCACTTTTTCAACCAAAGTAAATTCACAATTTATATAAAAGCATGTCTCACTTAATGACCATTCAAAGTTACAACCAATCCCAAAAAAACTACTCAAGACCTATTCTCAAATTTACAACTGCTGCACTCACCTTGCAGTCACATGATTTGCATTTTGAGCACTTTGACAACTGGTTTGCATTTACAATCATTTTAGGTGTTTTTTGCCATTTTCTGACACCCATTCAGGAGAATGGGTTCATTTAACAACCACATGGTTAGCTTAACAGCCTTATTGCATTGATTTAAGAATATTAAACAACATTACTATTATGATTACAATCAAACAAATTAATTTGTTTTACATTTTAATTTTGTTTTTGTTTTTTGGTTTAAGAAAAATAGATTAAAAAAAGTTATTTAAGGAGCATAAAGAGTGCCACATGAAAGCAAAGGACAAAAAGGTTCTTTCCATAAGTAAAAATGATTTTGAAATTTTAGATCAAGAAATTAAAGGACAGTACAAGGGAAGTAAACTTCTAAGTTAATATTAGTCAATTTGATTCTTATTTAATTGGATCAGTAATGCATTAGCTATTAAAACCTGTTGGCAGTTTCTATAGCTAAAATTTTGGCAAAATACATACCACCCCTGAAGTTGGAAATATGTCATTAATACTCCCGCTAGCTTCCCAATGCACTATAACATGTCCAAATGTACTTATTAAGCGCTCAACGTTCAAGCTGATCAAGGTGTCCTGTTCCATTTCTTCTGCTTGTTTAAATAATGAGTTCTAAAACATACCAATGATGAAAAATAATACACAGTTTAACATGCATATATCATGTTTTTCTGTTCTTTAAAAACAAGTTCCATCTGCCTCTATCTCTACTAAAGTTTTCCTGGCTTTAAGATTAGGAGATTTTTTATCAATATTTCTTATTGATAAAAGTTCTATCTAACCTGAAAAATGTTGGTTCCTATTTTGACAATCTTCTACAGCAGAGAAAATTAGTGTGGCTGAAATGGGGCCAGTGAAGAAACTGAGTTCCCTATATTTAATTTCCCCATAGAAATAAACAATAAATAAATTAGGCCAGTTTTTATAAAGATTTTCACACCCATCATGATACCATTTTGTGGTAGCAAATAGATTGCTAGACTTGGATTCAGGTATCCTTGAACCTGTCAGACTAACAAAACCATGCAGTATTATTACGTATTGTCATCAGTGTAAACTACTAAATTGTTTTAGGGAAGCTGGGATATAAATCTGAATATAAATATAAATGCATTTTCTTAATTTTATAAGCCATCACAACAGAATTCACAATTAAACCAGTATTACACGAGGGAATTGCAGGTTCCAATGCATTTTTATTTATTTTATTTTTATTTATTGTTACTTTTATATACCATCCATCTTGCTATCCAAAGATGAATTAATAATATGGTGAGATATGTTACTAAGACAGCTGTTTATGATTCTGGTGTTGTAGTTTACAACATTATAAATATGAATACATTCCATATGTGTTAAAAGGAGCATATTTTAATTTTACCTGGGCAAATGCAACAACTCCATGAGCATCATCATTAGAGGGTATCACTATGGTCACATAACCATTAGGTCCTATTTCTGCACCACCCTTTGGATTTTTCAGCCATACTCTAAAAGATTCTTCTTCCTCTGGGACTGTGTCATCAAAAATATTGATTGCTATCACAATTTCTTTATCTCCTGGTTCAAATATCAGTTCAGCTGAACTAGCATAAAAACACAGATGTACAGCATATTTATAATTAAACAATTGTTTTTCTGAGACAAAGTAAAATCAGTTTTGACACAGAAAAATGTAATTTTATGTACTTTAAAGAAACAATTTCTATCAATTACTAATTTGTTGTTACTATTTACTTAAGTGTCTCAGGAAACATATGAGGTCAATTCAACAATAAGCAAGTAGACTTATGTTTATATAGAATAATTTATCCTTTTCCTCCTATCTATAAAATCTTGCATTTTTATAGTCTGTTTTGGTATATCATTCCACATACTGAAGCAGATTTTAAATGTTCTATGTATGGAGCAGTGTGGAGTGGAAGCTCTCTGTCTCCATAGTACTCTAGCACAGGGGTCTCCAACCTTGGCAACTTTAAGCCTGGAGGACTTCAACTCCCAGAATTCCCCAGCCAGCAAAGCTGGGAGTTGAAGTCCTCCAGGCTTAAAGTTGCCAAGGTTGGAGACCCCTGCTCTAGCAGACCATTTCATTTGCCAGATTAGATTACCTCATGCATATTTTAAACAAATAACAAACACGTTTAGATTAGACCAATCTCATTGTTTTTAGACTTGATCCAGTTTTATCCCAAACACAAAACATCTCTCAGCAATCAATCAATCAGTCAATCAAAAACTCAGCAACTTCTATCAGTTTACTAGGCTACTGTATTCCACTGTCATCTTTAATTTGTTCATTTTTTGCTTATAATCTTTGACAGTACTCTTTGCTGTATTTCTGAACAATTCCAAGATAGTGTCTTCAATTGTTGATTTGACTATTACTTTCTCACTGAAGAATTTTCAGTAGAAACTGAAAGATTCAGAACAAGGAAGGAATTGTATTAGGAACTCAAATCTTTACAGCAAAAGAAAGAACAATACTATGATGACTGTAATGTTTTATAAAAGTAACAATACGTTCATAATCAATATTAAAAAATGAATTCATACCTAGGTATAAAATCTGACTGATTTGAAATTGCAGTTAGCTCGTAAATATAGGAATAGGAATCTCCAGTCACAACAATGAGACTTTTGTTAGAATTAAGAGATTTTACATTGATACTGGAAATATGATTGGCAGAAGGAGCTTCTAGTAATGGAGAAAACCGGTTCATTTCTGAGTTCCAGGAATACAGCGCTGATATATCTTTGCTAGCAAACAGTACATGCACTGCATCAAGAAACAAAGAAGTTAAGAATGATAGAGAAAAATGTTAACATTTTATGCTAAAACATTTTTAAATATTTAATTGATTTTGTTCAAGCTATATTTTGCATTTACTTAGCACTTTCTGTTTTAAAGACATACAAAGCACTTAAAAGAGTGCACCACAAGGGCACTGAAATTAATAAACATCAGTCCTTGAAGCAACCATGTCCTCTGGAAGCTCAGCATAGCTGCTTCTAAGGCTTACCACATCATTCATCTGAATGTATATATGTAGACAACACTTTTGCTGGTATTACAAATATAGCAAAGCAATTGTGCACGCACAGCCACATTTAGACAATCAAGGAAAGATTTGTGCAAATCTTTCCTGAAGGAGGGAAGAAATGTTTGCACTTTAAAGCAAATGCAGCATGCTCATTTTTCTGCCAATCAGCAACAAACATCTTTATTCCCCTAGCAAGCTTGAAGCTGCAAAGGTTCATAATTTTGCTGTGGCAAAAATAAGTAATTTTGTCTACTATAAATCTGCAGTTTTGAACACACAATTAAGTTACATGTTAAAAATTGTTCTATACGTTTGTTTTCTCTCAGGAAGCTTGAGTTGTGAGAATGACTCTGCTATTACTAATCATATTACGCTGAGAAACAAGGTGCACCAAGACTTTTTAAATGCCATTATTATGTATGTAATATTCATATCCAAATTGCTCCAAATGTTTATTTTGAAAAATCATAGCCAACTGTACAACTCACAGCATCCAAAAGGCCAATAATATTATTTATGATAGATTAGAACAGAATAACAGAGTTGGAAGGTACCTTGGAGGTCTTCTAGTCCAACCCCCTACTTAGGCAGGAAACCCTACACCACTTCAGACATATGGTTGTCCAACATCTTTTTAAAAACTTCCAGTACTGGAGCAAGTTGTTCCATTGATTAATTGTTCTATTTTCTATTTATCACTGATAATGGTACATACATGGCATTTTCCCCTACAGAAAAATTATACCTCTATGAGGAGGGGGGAAAGATCTTGTGTGAAATAATGTAGTATCAGGGATTATTGTCAGACTTACCTAAACCTGAAGGTGGGGAAAAAGTATGGATTGCATTTACTGTTCTGACAGAAATGGACTGAAAATATCTGAAGGAAAATTGTCCTGTCTCCCAGATAAAAATTTCACACGTACTGTTGATCTCTATGGAAAGTAAAATCAGACAGCTTTCTGTGAATATGGGTATTTATAAATAATGCACTTATGATCAATAAATAGTAACTTCTAATAAACTAGTTCATTTTAGGAAACACTGTGGATTATAGAACTAGAACCGTGTTTCCTTAATTTATGCATTACAAATGAATAAATCGCTTATGTCCCTAATATCAAAAGAAAACATTGACAAAGAAACAAATTTTGAAACAAAAGGAAAAAACAACTAGCAAAATCCCCCCAATATATATCAACAACTTTACATCATAGGCCTTTTAACAATGTTACATAGTAAGTATTGTATATATCAATAGCTCATCATTAAACAAAGTAACTTATTAATTATAAGAATCATTAAAAAGTTTTTTCTTGCCTCAGTTTGCACACTTAATGTAATTCTATCAAATTCTATCAAACCTTTTGCAAAAATTAGGTAGATGTCAGATCCAGAAATGACAGCTTCGACTTGTGTTATTCCATTGATTGGCACTTCTTGAAACCGTATAAAATCATTTTCTGACCACTTGAATAATAGAGGTGTATGTCTGGATTCACAAGGGACAATGACTAGATATATTGTACTTCCCCTGGGGAAAAGATCCAGACTCAAAACTCCTTTCACAGAGAGTTGATTATGGAATATGAAGATGCCATTATTCCACAGGAAAATCTATAAAATGCAAAAGAGCTCTAGTTATAACTAAAATTGGAAGAAATCAAATATGTTAAAATATCTTTGTCCTAAATAGGACACCTGGTATGGAATATATTTCTTGCTCACTATGTATATAAATAAACAGCCATAGAAATTATTAATAGGAAGAGCAATTTTTAAAATTTGTACCATATACCGTATTTTTCAGTGTATAAGACACACTTCCCCCCTCCCAAAAAAAGTGGGCGGAAATGTCTGTGCATCTTATACAGCAAATGTTGTTGAAGCCCCACCCAGCCACCAGACCCCACCCTTTGACCTCTGCCTCCCAGCAATTTGCCTCCTTGCAGCAAAGAGCAAACAGCCTGGTCAGTTTCAGCACAGCCTGATTTAGCACGAGCAGCTGATTGGCGGTTGGATCAGCCTCCCAGAATACCAAAATCAGCTATTTCAGGCTGCAGGGATTGTCATCGCCTATCGCTGCCTTTGAGCACCCCATTTTCGGTTTCCGAAAATGCACCCTGTTTTCAGCCTGTTCCAGGCAGCAGGAATAGACGGCGGTGATTCCCGCCACCTAAAATAGACTGAAAATGAAGCATGCAGAGGCCGAAACCAGGATGCAAGGAGGCCGAAAATGGAGCACACGGAGGCAGCGATAGACAATGGCTATCCCTGCAGCCTGAAATAGCTGATTTTGGTATTCTGGGAGGCCGATCCAACCGCCAATCAGCTGCTCGTGCCAAATCAGCCTGTGCTGAAGCTGACCAGGCTGTTTGTTCTTTGCTGCAAGGAGGCAAATTGCTGGGAGGCAGAGGCAGAAGGAGATTTTCCCCCCCGCTTGTTTTCCTCCTTAAAGGTCTTATAGTTTGGAGCATCTTATAGTCTGACAAATATGGTAATTGTATATAATTTTTAAATTTTCCTTTTCAAAGAAAAAATAATGATCATTATCATGGTGGAGCATGACACACTTCCACTTATTTCATTACTGGTCAGTCAAGGTATGTATGTGAATGCTTTGTTTTTACATTATTTCATTATCTCTGACAGTCTGCAAGCTTTCAGACTTCAATTAAATTTGAAAATAACATTTCCTGAGGAACCTCTCACCAGGGATCTTTTTCCAGAAAAGGAAAACAGGACTGTTTGGAGCAGTAGAATTCTCAATTACCTTCTTTGGGAGGTAAGCTCAAGAATACCACCAGAACTTTTATTGCACCTCAAAAGCAAAGAGAATTTTGAAGGTGCCATTGGAGGAGCCTTTTGACTGTAAATATAACTGATTAATTGATTGACTGAATTTTTTCAAAACAACTCAAGGCTGAAAAACACTTTTTTCCTGAAATTTATGCAAAAAGTATACAATTCAATATGTGTTAAGATAATAAACTTCCAGTCCATAAAACATCACTTCTGACATCACTACAGAGCTATGTGACTTCTCTCTTCAAGTACTACAACAATTTTTGGAGAGCTTACATTGATAGCTATGCATTTTACTTTACACATTTGAGTATTAGTTGAATAGATTTTGCTAAAGAGGAAGCATCACCATTGGAAGGGGGCATGTTGGATGCAGAAAGGTAGAATGGTTTGGAGTCTTCATTGGCACAGGGAAAGTAGAGCTTGAATTATTAAACCTTTATGCCATAATATAGATATGGTGCTCAATAATGTAGGCATAAGTGTAAGATTCATCCAGAAATGAAATGCATCATCAGCCAGAATAATAAGAATCATTACAGGTTAGGACCATATTTAAAGCAGAGCTCCAACTGAGAAAAGTTTCTAACCATTAATTCCTTACCATTTCAGCTGATTAATCTGCAATCATCTTTTTAAACACAGAACAGTAATTTGCAGATATGAATACAAAAACATGTTCTGAAGAAGGATGCAAAAACAGCCAGGTACATATTTATATAGGTGGTATTCAAGTTGCATTTATTAATGTACAATCGAAACATAAAAGCAGAAAAAGTATAAATTTCAAATATTTCCAATGATCATATGATTCAAATATATACATCTGAATTTTCTGCCTGATTTGTATGCATCCCCTTAAAGAATTCACAAGGCTTTGTAGGTTCTGAATATGTTACTAGATAATATGTTATTAGGTAAATATACAAACAAGGCTAATACAGGAAATAAAATGAAAATTCTCCTAACCTGGGTAGACTCAGATTCTGGTCTGTAACTTGCAATAATCAAATAATGGCTTTGATTCAAATTGAAATATTTTATATCACTGGTGGCTGGCACCAATATAGACTGTACCTGAAAGAAAGAAAAGGAAATACAATCACATGTATCTAATACAACCTTCAAAATGTATCTCACTTGTTTTATTATAGAAATGTAGCTTAAGGCAAAATTATGTAAATAAAATGAACATCTGAACATCAAGCACTGTAACTTCCAAATTCGTCTCTGAGTTTCTAGTATTTTCCTATAAGTGTCAGCAGCTGCTTTATAGGCACGGCAATTAATCCCTGAGATAAAGTGATATAATCTGTACACTTACATAACATTTAAGAATGAATCTTGGATAGTGATTTATGGTGGGATATCAAGCTGACTCAATGATGATGAAAGTATTTCAGTTATGTGTTTATGAGGACATGGTTTAAAAATCTTATGCCTGATTATTTAAGTTCTAAAATAATTTTTACTGCCTTTTTGTTTTCCTGCCCTTTCAGCTTCCCAGGCTGGTCTGGCTCCTTATTTCTTGTCTTGCTAACTCTATGCCTTACACTGAGCATCAATACACAATCTCTCTTGCCCTTAGGATTTCTATGATGTGAAGCTTTATTTTTGCGAACTTGTGTCTTTTCTGGCTGACTATATTCATTTCCTACAAATATATATCCTCCCCCTGAACAGTTATAAAAATCTTCATTCTCGTCACATTCTTCAAAAAATTAGATTCCTTGCATCCTTTGACTTTTTCCTTGGAATTACTTTAAAAGCTGTTCTGACATACTTGTGATATTACACATTAGTAATCTGATACCATCATGATTAAAATGCACTCCATATTTTTATATAGAATTGGCTTGTCTAAAAATGAATTCCATCTCTGAGGGAGATGGGTGGTTAAGAAAGATAAACTATAAATAAATAATCAGTCTAATATCTAATCCCCCTCATTATTTCCACTATCACATTCATTCCTCATCTTGTTGTCAAATTCACAAGCATATTTAACACTTTGGTCTTTTTATTTATTACTTTATTTAAATAGCATTCTAGAGTTTATATTAAAAATTAGTGAGAACACTTTACGTCTGCTGCCTTGTAGCTTTTCATTAAACCTACTCACAGGTTCTAAGATTGAAATAACTTGGTTACACTCACTAATAAACTATTGCCACTCCAGTCTGAAAAAAATACTTGCACTATTTGGAAGTTTTTTGCAGAACAAGGTTATTTTCCCCTTAGGAATAAATTCATCTTATACTTTTTTAAGGAATGCTAGCATTCAATTAATTATGCATAAATGGTATTAGTTTTTTTTCTCAAACAGATGCTCATGCATACTTAACTGTGCTTTACAAACAAGTATTTATAAATTTTCTGATATTACTATCTTTGATATTACCAGGAGGAAGAATTTTCAATTCAAGTATTTGAGTCATTAAAAAATTGAAAAGAAGTTTGGAAAATGAAACAATATTACCTCTAGCAGCTGAAATCCAGAGGTAAACAAGAATACGGTGTTGTTAGAAGGTGTATCTTCTTTTATTCCACCATGAGTAATTACTAAGTAGGTGGAGCCATTGATTTGAAATGAAATACAATGATGAGGGTTCTTGATACTGAATTCCTAAGCAAAAAGTAAACCAGTAGCTTTTTTTTACTATCCAATTAATAAAGTCCATGAATTATTTTAAGACAAAATATTTAATATTGAAATAAGATTTATAGGTAGCCCTCCTTTAATGATTGCCTCAGTTAGCAACTATTCAAAAGTTATGACAGAGATGAAAAAAATTTTTTACAATCAATCCACACATTTATGACCTTTACAAGTCTGTAAAGCAGAGGTTCCCTAACTTGGCAACTTTAAGACTTGTGGACTTCAACTTGAAGTCCACAAAGTTGCCAAGTTTGGAGACCTCTGCTGTAAAGCCAAGGAAAGCTGAAGAACATAAGCATGGCCATGGTTTCAATTAGCAAACATTTCACTTAATAACTAAATTGCTGGTTCCAATTGTGGTTTTTAAACAAGGTCTATCTGTGTATCACATAGCTGGAAACAGTGTTATGATCAATATTCTTAGATATCAGTTTAATGTTTTACAATATTTACCTCAACAGGAACAAAAACTCCCCGCCATTGATATATTGAAGACTTTACAGCTGGATTTGTTCTCAACAATAATCCATATAAAAAGTCTCCTTCCAAAAAGAAACACCAGCTAGATATTGATTCTTCCTCAAAACTTTGTAAAATGGCCAGTACACTTAACCCACCCTCTGCAATTAAAAGAAAAGTAATGCTATTAACAGCACATATTAGCATAAACAAAGAAAGTCCATATTGATAGCTGACTAGTGGGTTTATCCCAAATGACAGTGAGCTGCTAAAATTGCATTACCTAGAAGAAAAGAAAAGAGGCAAATAGGATCATGTCTACAGGCAGCTGCTTATCAAACCACCACCAGAATCTTGGAAACAATTTAGGAAAATCCTACAAAACCACTAGCCTCTCACTGTTGTACCCTACCACAGAAAAATTTACTGAAGTTGCCCACAGGGAAAATACCAAAACAGCAAATAACTGGCACCTATCCTTGTTCTTCCCTGATCATATTGTAACTTCAAAGAAAAAAAGAAGGTATATGGGTCAATATAAAAGAAAAAAAGAATGACATGGCCATAGGTGTATATTATAGGCCACCCAATCAAGCAGAAAAAACAGATGTCCTTTTTGCCAGCCAACTAACAAACATATGCAGGAAACACACAACAATAGTAATGGGAGACTTCAATTATCCTGATATCAATTGGAAAACTAATTCTGCACCAAGTGAGAAATCAAATAAGTTCCTAACCAACCTAGCTGACAACTTTGTTGTCCAAAAGGTAGAGGGTGAAACTAGAGGGACGGCCATGCTGGACTTAATTCTTACAAACAGAGAAGAAGTGATAGAGGGAGTTGAAACTGCAGGAACCTTGGGTGAGAGTGACCATGTCATACTAGAATTCAACATAACACAAACACAAGCAACAGAACATAATGACACCAGAGTCTTGGATTTTAAAAGAGCTGATTTCAATAAACTCAGAGAGAACTTGAGAAAGATTCCATGGATGAAAATCCTAAAAAGGAAAACAACTCAAGAATCTTGAGAAACTCTAAAAAGTATGATCACAGAAGCCCAGACCAGCACAATACCACTGAGAAAGAAAAACAAGAAATCCAAGAAGAAACCAGCATGGCTGCACAAAGATCTCTCTGGCAAATTGAAAGAAAAAAAAGGACAAGTGCAAAAAATGGAAAGAAGGACATACAACTAAGGCAGAATATCAGCAGATAGCCAGAATCTGCAAAGACTAAGTCAGGATATCAAAGGCTCAGAATGAACAAAGACTTGCAACAAAAGTCAAAGATAATAAAAAAAGTTTCTTCCAACATATAAATAACAAGAAAAAAATCAAGGAAACAGTCGGTCCACTAAAGAGAGAAGATGGCAAGGAAGTAACAGGGAACAGAGAGAAAGCAGAACTGCTTAACTCATTCTTTGCATCCGTCTTCACGCAAAAAGAAACTATAGCTCAACCCACCAAAAACAGAGAAGACAGACCAAAAATAAAAGACAGACCAGAAATAAAAGTTAAAATAAGCAAAAAAATAGTAAGAGAACACCTGTCTGATCTTGATGAAAACAAATCACTGGGGCCTGATGAATTACATCCCAGAGTTTTAAAGAAGCTGGCAGAGGTCATCTCAGAACCACTGCACCATATCTTTCAAAAATCCTGGAGCACCGGGGAACTACCAGAGGACTGGAAAAGAGCTGATGTGGTTCCATCTTCAAAAAAGAAAGAAAAAAAAAAAACAGACCCAGGAAACTATAGACTAATCAGCCTAACATCAATACCCGGGAAGATACTGGAAAAGATAATAAAAAAACAGATCTACCAACATCTAGAAACAAGTAAAGTAATAACTAGCAGTCAGCTAGTTAAAAACAGATCATGCCAAACCAATCTTATTTCATTCTTCAACACAGTGACTAAATTAGTAGACCAGCAAAATACTGTGGACATAATATATTTAGATTTCAGCAAGGCATTCGATAAAGTAGACCACAACCTACTTCTTAGTAAGCAGGAAAAAAGTGGAATAGATAGCACAACCACTAGATGGATTCGCAACTGGCTGGCAAACCGTACTCAACGAGTAGTCCTTAATGGGTCTAAGTCTACATGGAGGGAAGTAAGCAGTGGGGTGCCATAAGGTTCTATCTTAGGCCCAGTACTCTTCAATATCTTCATTAACGACTTAGATGAGGGAATAGAAGGGGAACCTACCAAATTTGCAGATGATACTAAGCTGGCAGGAATAGCTAATACCCAAGAAGATAGTCTCAAGATCCAGATGGATCTTGACAGACTAGAACACTGGGCTATATCTAACAAAATGAAATTCAATGTAGAGAAAAGTAAAGTCCTACACTTAGGCAAGAAAAACCAAAAGTACACATATAGACTGGGTGAAACCAGGCTCAATAGCAGTAACTGTGAGAGGGATCTTGGAGTCTTAGTGGACAACCAGCTAAATATGAGCCAGCAGTGTGCAGCCGCCGCCAAAAAAGCTAATGCAATCCTAAGTTGCATTAACAGAGGGATACAGTCAAGATCAAGGGAAGTACTAATACCACTCTATAAAGCCTTAGTAAGACCACACCTACAGTACTGCATCCAGTTTTGGTCATCACATTATAAAAAAGATGTTGAGACTCTAGAAAAAGTACAGAGAAGAGCAACAAGGATGATTGGGGACTGGAGGCTAAAACATACAACGAACAGTTGCAGGAACTGTGCTTGGCTAGTCTAGTAAAGAGAAGGACCGGGGAGACATGATAGTGGTCTTCCAATATTTGAGGGGCTGCCACAGGGAGGAAGGAGTCAAGCTATTTTCGAAAGCACCTCTAGGCCAGACATGGAATAATGGATGGAAACTGAACAAGGAGAGATTTAATCTGGAAACAAGGAGAAACTTTCTGACAGTGAGAACAATTAACCAATGGAACAGCTTGCCCTCGGAAGTTGTGGGAACGCCATCACTTGAGACTTTCAAGAAGAGATTGGACTGCCATTTGTCAGAAATGGTGTAGGGTTTCCCGCTTGGGCGGGGGGTTGGACTAGATGACCTACAAGGTCCCTTCCAACTCTGATTATCTGTATCTGTAAGAAAAACCCTTAAAAAGCCACATTATGGGGGAAAAAGGGATCAGTAAAAAGAAATTAAGGGAACCAGATGGAAACCTCCAGTGGGAAACTGTTTGATCTACAACCCAAGAAGAAGAAAAAACAGCACAGACTTCTTGGATTCTTTTCTATAGGGAAAGATACCTCACTAGTTAATTGATTAAGCTTCCAAGGTTTCTATGTATCTGGGGATGCTGTGAGGACAACGTAGAATCCCAAGACACAAAAAGGCACAAAAAGGTGCAAAGCCAACTTGGGATGGATACAGTCATTGTCTATGGAAGGGGCTTTAGTTATCTCTGATTGAATCAACCAAATTACAATACATGAATTATATAAACCTATCCTCTATAACCTATCAAAACTCATGAATTGACTTACTTATCCCAAATGCAGAATCAGGTCGTGTTTCCCATTCCACACTCACTGATGTATTGAGTCCATTGCTCCGAGATATTTTCAAATAAACTGTAGTGTTTGCTTCCTCAGCTATAATAGAATTTGTCCTAAGAATTATGGAAGATTTAACAAAATACATAAATAGTGATTCATTTCTCTAAGTGCTATACAACTAAATAAATGATAAAATAAAAATACACAGAAGGTGTTCTATTGGCATACTGATTGTAAGAAAGCTGATTTTCAGCACATGTAATAACTGACATATTCTCATGTTAAAATAGCAGACTTTTTTCATAGTAGTTGAGAGAGTAGATGCTAATTATAATGTAAATATTCTATAAATTATAGCAAGATATGTAGAAATGTAACCTGTGGTTCTTTAAAATTTTCAGTGTATTCAAAAGATACCACTGTACATATTTTCTTGGAAATGAATGTCACTGGATTGGGTAAATATAGAACTGATTGTGCAAAAACATCTAGAGACTGCTTTGTCAATTGAGTAGAGCACTAATGGAATCAAGCCAGTTCAAGGGCCTCATAGCTTTGTCTGTAGCCATGATTGTGCACAGTTCTTCCAGGACTGTCCCTGTGTGGATCACCAGCCATCCTAAAAGCATTCACATACAGTCACTCCAAGTGGGAGCCTCAAAATCAGTTAAGCCATTTAGAAGAGATGGCATTTCAACACTCTTGAGCAGTAGGTTTCCTTTGTTTGCAGCACAAGGCAATCTCCAGAATGGTTTTTCACATTCCTAGTTTGAGATACACATTGTTTGTCATGGCGTCCAGGGAAAGCAAAACAGAGAATTACAGAGATTTATTTTAATACAAGTGGCATGGAATCATATTCCATCAATAGTAAAAACAGATTAGATGCCAGAAATAAAACCTGAAGCTAGGAAATATTAATGAAATCTCCAAGTGCCTACTGTTTAATAAAAGATTATCGATATATAGAAACATCTAAATGTATAACTATTATTTAATGTATGTATTTAAAATATTTGTATACTGTCTCCCATTGAAAATGTATTGCTAATAAGCAATGAAAAAAAAATCACTATCAACATTTACAGTTGCTATTTATCCTAATTATCCTAACATTCTTCTGATATCTGTAACTCTGACATTTGCCATTTTCTGTTATATTATAAATATCAAGAAATTTAAGAAGACTAAACACTAAAGTATGTTAACTGTCATATATAACTAACAAATTAATTTCTGACCTAACACAATATTTACCTCTCTGTAACTGGAAAGATACTGAAAAGTCCCAAAGGGGCTTGATTTTGCAACACTGTGATCAATGTTTCTGTTCTTGCACCCAGTCTGGCTCCACCAGTTGGATTGAACAGTGTAACAATGAAATGTTCATCCATTTCTGGTTCAGCATCCAGAATGGCACTAATATGCAGATTCTGAATAAAAAGCAATATATTAGTATTAAAATCTTGAATACTAGTATAATTACATTAAGACATGGAATGAAATCAAGAAGGACATGTTAGGATGGAAGAAACTGTCATTGTTATAACCTAAAAGAGAATTTTTATTCTTCAAAATATTATATTTAAAATCAAGTATCAAAATCTTGGATAAACTATAATCAACAATGAAACTCTACAACAATTTCACATCTCAAAAGCAATTAAAGATTTTCTTAACAAGCACTATTCTTTTGAAACAGAAGCACATAAATATCATCCTTTCTATCTATTTGTAGAAACTCATCAGAATTTGCCAAATAAGATGTCCAATAAAATATACGTATTTTCAAAATAATTGCTATTGAAATAAATATTTCCAATTAAACATGTACAGCTAAAGAACCTTTGTTTTTGAAAGGGCAAAATATTTTGAATCTCTTCTGCCTACAATCCTAAAAAACCTACAAAATCAGTACAATTATCCTCTGCAATTTGTAAATTAGTTCTTAAGGCACATAGTACAATATAGATGTAATATATGTTTTCTGATATTAACCAATTTATATTTATTTTATTTCTTAAATAAACATAATATTTTTTACATTTTGTAGAAACTACTTGTTGCATATTACCTTGACTCTTATTCCTTCTTCTAGAACAATATAGCCCTGTGATGGAGTCAAATCTACTGATTCTTCAGAAGAATTTATCTCTCGCACTATGTATTGGACAGTCACTGTTCCAAATATTCCTTGAGATGGTTCTCTGATAATATTCAGTATCGCAACACTTTCCATTAAATGGAGTGCTGTCTGTTCCCTTAGGAAAAAATGTTCACTATTGTTGAAGGATAAAACTCCATGACCGTCATCATTGGCCAGAATAGTAATTGTTGCTTTGAACAGACAATAAATGAAATGATTACCTTAATATTCAACATACAATCATCGGGCAATGCTTCCATATAATTTAATAAATGATACTATTATCAATATTGGTATCTAAATCCAGGTTCAGTATATATTTGAGATTTTTTTGAGCATAAATTTGTGGAAGACAACAAAGTTTATGTAGATTATAAATATTTAATCATAATAACAATAAATCAAGATTTCTATCTCTAACATCTACAAGAAAAAACAATTTTGTTTTACAAGGTTTGAAAAAAAACATAGTCCTGAAGAACTTAACTAAAATTCAGTATTTCAAAGTTACATCAAACAAGAACAAGCTTTCATAATAAACATGTTTAATAAATAAATTAATACATTTTACTCTACTGATTTTACTCTACTGATCTTATTACTTTTGCTTAAATAATATGAAATCTACATAATTTTCTGCATTATGAACTACAAAGTGAAAAGAATGTTTTAAAGGTGTCAAAAGGTTTCATATTGTCCTGTTATATTGTGCTATCTTCAAGACTGAAAAGAACTGAAATCTTAGCAATAGAACCCACAAAAAAATTGCACAACCGTTTGTGGACTTTCTACATGCTAAACACACACACACACACACACACACACACACACACGTTTGTGTGTGTGTGTGTCTGTCTGTCTGTGTGTAAAAGGGGAGAATTTATTGCTTTTGCTTTTCTTTCAGCACCTAGCCAGGGTGGATCCTATATGTTAAATGTTTTTTTTTTAATTGCACAATATAGGCAATTACAAAACAATATGGTGGACTGCCAGCCAATCATTGCTATCAGTAATTTAGATAATTATGTAAATTGTTTATGACTATGAAGAATGCTATTAATAATGTTATTAATGTTATTAATAATGTTAGCTTTATTCATTCACTCTCTCAATCATTCAATTTATGTAGCTATGTGAGATGGTCATAGGATTAAAAACAGAAAACAATAGAAACAACCAACCAAAATAAAACCATTAAAAACCAAATAAAACCATTAAAGATTTTAACAGGAGAAGGCAGCCAATACAGTCACTAGCAATACAGCTGGCTAACATGTTCCATACCACCGCTGGTCTCCAAGCATAATGACAGAACCATGTCTTGAGAGCCTTCCAAAAGGTCAGCAGGAATCAGCAAGATCAGGACCAGAGGTGGTATTCAGCAGGTTCTGACCAGTTCTGGAGAACCACCAAGCCACACCCACAGAACTGGTAGTCAAAACAATTTGAATCCCACCACTGATCAGGACCTGCCTATCCTGGGGGATGGGGGGGGGATGTTGTTCTGAAGGGCACCTGCTGTGGCAGAAAAGACTCTCCTCTAGGGCCTGTCAGGTGATGTGTTTTTGTGGACAGGACCCATAACATGTACCTCATGCCAGCCTTGAGGCTTTAGAGGTCATCACCAGTACCTTGAATAGAATAGTGCAGCTCACAGAATAGAAGTATTACCTGTTCTGACTGAGAAGCACCCTTTGCCCTCCTGTAGCTGCTGGATGCTCTTCACAGAGAGCCCCATGTAGAACATGCTATTGTACATTGATCTATTCTGGGAGGTGACCAGGGCATGAGAATAGAGCCTCCTGATCCATGGCAAACACAAAACAAAATACTAATTCAAAATTAATTAATATTACCTGTTGTATTTTCTCCCAATTCTAATCCAAGGGATGGATTTGTTAAAATTAGTTGGAATTTCTCATCTCTTTCAGGAATCTCATCATCAAAAATTTGAACATCAATATATTTATATCTTTCTCCATCAGCAAAAGAAAGAGTCTATTAATGAAACATATTGGAAATGTGTTTAATGTTGAAAAGCAATGCATAAAAACGTACAGAAAAATGTAAATTCGCTGTGACTTTTACAAAGCATCTACAGAAATATTCAAAAAAGTACAAGTCATCTTATAATAGCAATAGCACTTAGACTTATATACCACTTCAGTGCTTTATAGCCCTCTCTAAGCAGTTTACAGAGTCAGCATATTGCCCCCAACAATCTGGGTACTCATAATGATAAAATACATAGAATAAACATAACAGTTACACATCCCAACATCTAGCTGTTATTTTGAATTTTAAATACCTATGTAAATACATTTTTAAACAAAGTATCATGCTGATTTTTTTTTTAAATTGAAAAGCATATTTTTTTAAAATTGAAAAGCATATTAATGAAGAAATGGAATGAACTTTGAAGCCTAATAATACTTTGAAGACCCTAATATTCAGGGTACAATTGCTTACACTTTTCACTGAAACAAAACATCCATTTGATGTTATGGAAAAATGGTTTTCTGTGATGGTTTCTTCTTACCCTTGAAGAAAGATTAAAGTCCGCTCCCTGATATGCTTCCAGATTCTGAGCATACAAGAATAAGGACACGTTACCATACAAGCCTCGGTCCCGGAATATCACTAATGTTAAGTTTGTATTCAGTTCACTTATTTCAAACCTGAAGGAAAAAAAGAAAAGTTAC